GGGGTTGGGGGGGGGCAGCGTGTTGGAAGTGATGGGCTCTGGGAGGGGACTGGCCATTAATGTTTACAAATCTGTTCTATATTTTGGCATTTTTCTGCAGGGATGCTACTTCAGTGTATTCCTTACAGCAGATACCATGTAATTGGCATTCTGTAATGGAAGGTGCATCAGTTGGTTATAGCCTGCCTGCCTTCATTTTGAAATGAATCAAATTCAAGCTACTACAGACTAAAAAGTCAACATCCAGAAGTCTTAAAAATGGACATTTATTAAATAGCATTCAGAATCGTAGAAGTTTGGGATATTGCAGTGTTACATGGTTTTCATTTTCTTGGCTTTCCATTTTTGCCTTATTGAATGAGAATTGGCTCTAGTGCAAAAAGAGAATTTCTTCCCTTTACTTCAAGGTCTTCCTCAACCTCATTGTATATCTGTTTAGAAGCTACATCCTTATCCCTGTCCTCCTCAGTCTTGTTTGTGGCTGTGTATTACAGTATTTCTGTAGTAATACAACATATTCCATGTTGTAGATTACAATTTTTTCATTACTGGATGTAGATAAAGAACCCACAACTTCAGATTTCTGTGAAGGAAAAAAATTGCTTTTGGGAGTAAATCCATCAGGGTACTAATAATGGCTGTCAGACAGATTAAACAGGTTTTTTTGAGAGAACAGTTGGAAAGAATATACCAAGACATTCAGAAACAACAGTTGAGTAAGGAAGCTGAATAAATTGTTATCAGATCTTCAGTCTTGTATTAGAAGTTTGGTTCTGATAATAGTAACTGTCTTAGCGTTTAGAGATTCTCCAGTGAAATTTGTTTTGGTAAATGTAAACCACTGATCCCTGCTAAAAAGGCAGAGAAATTCCGTTGTGCTTGAAGTTGAAGCATTCGATGGGTCAATGTCATTTGAAGGACAGCAGGCTATATGCAAAGCACAGATATAAGGTGTCTTCTCTGAAACGTTAGACATAAGAGTGAAATGCCAGTCAGCAGCGCTCTCACCGTGTGGAGGTGCATTGCTACGTGAGAAATAGCAACAATACTTTTGTGTAAACATTTTATAAGCAATAGGTCTTCACAATTAATACAGCCCATAGATAACAATATGATATTTTATGGGGTTTTTTTATGATGCTGGATGAGTGCAGAAAATGTTGTACTGCATGTGCTGATGTGCATTTCCTGCAGTCTTGGATAATGTGTCACTTCTGATTGTGGGGCAAGCATGGTATTTTTTCTTTCCTTCCTATAAACAGAAGTGTGCTTGCCACAGTTTGCCTAGGGCTATGTAGGGTGTGTGTCTTGGTTTAATACTGATTGCCTGCATGGCTCCTGAGCCAGTTGGTATTGTGTGTTACTGTGTTAGAGGAAGTACAAGGACTGTTTGTAACTGGACTGTCCTTAGGTAGGTGAATGGCAGTGACTGGTCCAGTACCAGCTGGTTGGGTGGGAAGACCAAGAACACACTGGCCAACATAGCTGTACTACATCTCCTTTTCCCTATAATGTGTTAAGATGACGGTCGGGGGACTCAGAAGGTTAAAGTGAAAATAAATGTCTCCCACTGCAAAAGTACATTCTTTTCTATGCATCCTGAAAGTAAAAAGTACTGACTACTGTTCAGTTTGAAAGCAAAAGCCTCTTAGAATTTGTTCAAATTGACCTCAGACTGAATGTAGGAATGTCATGTATACTCTTGGTTTCAAATAATTTAGAAAGACTAAAATAGCTGTGTTGGGCATTTGCTTTGATATTTCTTGTCCCAAGCATTGGAAAGCATAGATGCATATTATGTGCTACTTCCAGGATCACTAATCTTTGAACTCTTTTGAGTATTTTAAGTTGTTGATGCTTAGTCCTTGCAGCTGGGTTTTAAGAAATGATATTTTTTTATTTGATTTATATGCCATCCAGAAACAGAATACTTACAAACAGGAGAATGATAAAACAACTTAAATAGAAACTAGAATACCAATATAAGATGGAGACCTCCTAAATCAGTGTTTCCCAAACTCTTGATACCTGGAGCATACTTTTTTCTGGATTAAAATTGGCAGCAGACTTTACTCTGACACTTGAAAAGGTGTGTGTGGGGAGAGAGGTGTGGCACAGGGGCTTCCTTGGGGCAGCAGGTGCCTCTGGAGTAGCTGGGGCAGGTCTAAGGTGCCAAATGGGGAAAAACATTTACCTTCTCACATGGGGGATCTCACAGCAGCACACTAGCATGCTCATTCCAGTCTTGGGGAATCACTGCCCTAAACAGTATCTTAGCTTAGGTTTGTTTACTAACCACTTGGCCAAATAGTGCTTCTGAAATCCAGGCTTGGGCTCTGGTGGTCCCTAATGGGGAGTGAGTTCCAGAGCTGAGGAGTGATCACTGAGAATAACTTCCCATGCCAAGTGGTGGTTGCAGAAGGTTGCTCACAGCTGACCTTAGGGATTGCAGTGGGGCATAAGGGAAAAGGGAGTCCCTTGAGTATGTAGGGCCCATACTGTTTAGGGTCTTGTAAGTCAAAACCAGCACCATGAATTTCTCCTGGAAGGGTATTGGGAGTCAATGCAGGCTTTACAGCACTGGAGTTATGTGCTCCTGGCAACCCACTTCAATCAGAAAGTGGACTACTGTGTTCTGCACCAGCTGCTGCTTTCACATGGTCTTCAAGGGTAGTCTTACATAAGAGTACTACATTGCAATAATCTAGCTTTTTGTAAGGCGTGGATGGTGGTGGCAAGATCTGAATCTGAAAGAAAGTGTTGCAGCCTTCTTACCAGATGGAGCTGGTGAAAGGTGCTCTTAGCCACTGCTTCCACTTGAAGATCCATATGCAGCAGAGAATGCAGAAGCCACCCCAAGGCCATGAACCTGAATGACAAGGGAGGCTGAACTCCATCAGTGATAGGTGTCTTTTATCACGTGGTTTGCTCATCACCATCATCTCTGTCTTCTTTGGATTCAGTTTCAATTAGTTCACCCACATCCACTCCCCAACCGCAGCCAGGCAACAGAAAAAGACTGAAACTGGTGTGGGTCAGATGGGAATGAGAGGTAGAGCTCGATGTCATCAGCATACTGATGATCCCTCACTCCAGATCTCTGCAGTCTCACCTAACAGCCTCATGTACACATAGAATAGGAAGAGTGACAAGATGGACTCCATAGGAAAGATCCCAAGGAGCGATGAGCACACACCTATCATCCCCCTCTGAAGTTTTCCTGCTAGGAAAGAGTGGAACCAATTTAGAATGGTCCTATGAATACCCACAAGGTTATATAAATGCTTTAGCAGCACCTCTGAGTCAACTGGATCAAAGACTGCTGAAAGATCTATTAAAATCAGCAGGACACAGTTTCCCTGTTGATCTCCAGGGAAAGATTATTGACCAAGACCACAAACACAGTCTCTGTGCCAGGGGTGGACAAAATGAGGTCCGGGGGCCAGGTGCAGCCTGCCATGCCATTCTATCCGGCCCACGGGGCACCTAAAAAATTTAGAAAATGAATATTAATCTGCCCTGGGCTGCCTGTCATGTGGCCCTTGATGGCTTGCTAAAACTCGGTAAGCGGCCCTCTGCCCAAAATAATTGCCCGGCCTTGCTCTATGCTGTGGCTCTGGTTTGTTGATGTACAAAGCAACTGTTGTGTGAAAGTACAGTCACTACGATCTTTTAGGTAGATGCATTTGGGATTTCTATTATTGACCAAAAATTCTTCAGTGAAATGTATAATTCTGTGTAGTATAAAACAAAACAAAAAACCCCAAAGAATCCATCTCTTTTTAGAATGAGCGAAAGTTTTGATTTCCCTTTAAGTTTGTATGGAATAGCTACTAGGGTTTTCCAACCTATTAGGGTGTTTATACACATGCTCTGGGAAGTGTGTGTGCGTGTGCGCACGGGGGCATTTTAATTAGAGCAGCTCCAGGAGCTGCTGTTAATTAAAACACCTGGAACATCACATGGGTCAGCACCCCCTCACTGAAAAATGATGGCGGGGTGTTTTAGCTAAAGCTTGTTGAATGAGCTTTAGTTAAAGCACCTCTGCTGCCATTTTTCATCATGGGGATGCTGATGCACGTGATGCCAGAGTCTGCTGGAGCGCAGCAGGCTTGATTAATCGTCTGCTCTACACTGTAATTACAGTGTGTCAGAGCAGCCTTGATGCATGTGTATAGGCACCCTTAGTTTTTAGTTACCATGCCCCTTGCTATCCAGGTACTAGTGGTTTGGTCTCTAATTGCTGGACCCAGTGAGTTTATACTATATAGATGTGTAAACCCCCCAAAAACAAACAAAAAAAAAAACCCCACTATAGCTTGTGGATCTGAAACTGTCAAATGCATAGTTAAAACTTCTCTGCATCATTCTCTTGCATATGTAGTTTGGAAATTTGACAGTGGCTTTTTTCAGCTTAAATCAAAATTTTCTCCAATAAAAGAAAGTATCATTAGCTTGTGGGGCTCTTCATCCTTTGTAAGTGGTGTGAACAGCTCTCGGTCTAGGTGTATATGCACACTAATTTTTTTGTACAGTAACTGACACTGAGCTTGATTGGTACATCCTGGAGTTATCTTGTGCATCGTCTGGTGGTACCTTTGGGGTGTAGAGACTCCAAACATTTTCTAGCTTTTGTTTTGAAATTGCTTTCTTTGAAAATCAGGAATTGCAGCCAACTACTTTTCTTGTGGTGTGGAGACCAAAACTAGATGCATATTCCAGGTGAGGCTTCACCAGTGCTGAGTAGAGCAGCAGAATCTCTGTCCTTGATTTACAAAAAACCATGCCTGTTAATATAACCTAGGATGCTATTGGCTTTTCTTGGCAGCAAGAGCACATTGTTGGCATAGTGTAGCCCCCAGGTTCTTTTCTGCAGTACTGCAGCCTAGCCAGTCATCTCTCAAGCTGTATTTGTGTGTGTGGTGACACTTTTATTTGCATTTTTCAACCTTGGAGAACACAAGAACAGCAGCAGAGTTTCCTACTGCCTGAAGAAGAGTGTTTGTGCCCAAAAGCTGGCAAAGAACTTTTTTTTCCAACTGTTTAGTTGATCTAATAAAATATATCACATCTACCCAAGGAAGCTTGCCTGCCTGTGTGCAATTACTGTATTTTTGTGAATTCAAGATGACTTCAGCATTTGGGGGTGAGGTGGGGTGGGGCATGGAGCCTGTCCTGGAGCTGAGTACAAGTTGTTGTGGGCAGGCAGGTGTTGTGACTCAGGCCCTTACTGCGGTTGGAGTCACAGTTGGAACCACAGTAACAGCCCTCACCTTGTTCTCTGTGCCTCTGCTTCACACTGTTGCCGGTGCTTACCCTCTGGCTCTAGCCCAGAGCCTGGAGTGCATGTTACCTCCAGCCCCTTCGTGGCCACATGATGGTGGTAGCGGCCCCAGGGCCACATGGTAGGGCTGAGGCTGGAGCTGAAGTTGCCACCACTGCTTCTGCATAGTCAGGCAGCGGCTGGGGGAGGTCAAGGCAGGTAAGTGCTAAGGGGGTTCAGGTGGGAGCAGAGGCCAGGATAAGGGAATGGGGGGAGGGGGTCAGGCTGGAATGAGCAGGGGATGGTGAGGGTGCAGGCAGCAGAGTGGGTAAGTGGTAAGGGGGGCAGGTGGTGAGGGTCAGGCAGGTAGGGGCAAGATATGGTGGGGCACAGGCAGCAGAGGGGGGAAGTGGTGAGGGTGGCAGGGGCCAGGTCACTTGACTCCCGTGCTGCTTGCCATGCTGCAGTGGTTGCTGGAAGGGGGTGAATTTAAGATGGCCTTCCAATAACTAGGTTATAAATATTCTGTGTTTAGAAACAAATTTAAGATGAACACCCAATAATTAGATATTGTCTTGGTTTCAGGTCAGTACAGTATTGTATTCCAAATGCAGGCCTTTTCACTTGTCCTTGTGGAATTTTGCCTGATTCATTTCAGACCATTTTTCCAGTTTGTCCAGGTCGTTCTGACAGCATTTGAACTTTTAAGATGCTTTCCATAGAAGACATAGCTTGTAGAGCTCCAATTTTCATACATTAGGTAGTCAGCTTGTTCAGATGTTCACAGATATCTTTACAGTGCAGACCACCTCCCATTCCTAACACATTTATAGCTATTAAAGCAGTTGCTTACATGTATGCTAATGTATTTTTAGCTTGCTTTCAGCTGCTAAATTGTATTAAAGAGCAAATCAGTGCTACATGACCAGTTTTTTCTTTGTCAATCCCAGTGTTCTGTGACTGGGTTTTGAGAACAGCTGAGCTAGTACACTTAAGACTTGGTCTGTATTTTTAAAGTATTATTGGTATAACTTTTAGGTGGGAATGGGGTGGTGGTGGTGGTGGTGGGGAGAATCTTAGTTAAAATATTTATGCTAATAAAAGCCCTAGTGTAGACATAATTTAGACTTGGACAATAAAGGGAATAACTATATAATAATCTAATACTAGTATAAAACAGCTATATACCAATGCAAGTGCATTAATGCTTGTGTGACTTACTGTTTTTAAGTATGCCAGTATACCTGTAGCATAGTACAGCTTTTTACTGCAACTTACTGCTCTGGTCCTGTGCTGGCTGATTGACCCTTAAATGTTGGTCCCTTTTCAACTGCTTTATATAATCCACGTATTTATGTTTCAGAGGAGGTGAGATGGAGGGATAGAAAGGTGCTTCTCCCTCAAGCCTATTTTACCAGTTGCTAAGCCTTAGATAAAATTGTTGGGGAAGTTCTTTTGATGTTTTGTTCTTTAGCCTGTAAGCGTCTTTGGACCTTTGTACTCTGCAGTTACCCAGCAGGCTGTATGTAGAGCTTATGTGGCTCAAGGTCTTGAATTTCAAACCAAAATCTTCTAGTTGTGAAGGCTAGGCATTCACGTAAAGGAATCCGATACCCATAATGTAATAATCTGTGCGGTTGATGTTTCACTTTTTTTCCTCCTTGCCTTGATAGGACACAGGGCTCGACTTACTATTTGCTGTATACTTGGTACAGTCAGTGAGAGAAGAACAGTATGCCCAGTATCAACACTCACTCCTTTGGTGGATAGCAGATAACGTGAGAGAGAGAAACTGCATAGAATGCAATTCATACCCAGAGAATAGCAGATTTCTCAGCTAAAGCATTTTTCACTTGCTACCTGTTTAGAGGGTTCAGTGGTAATTCTGGCAGGGAGTAGGTTATAATCCTTCATCAACCATTTTCCTCCTCCAACCATTTAGTAATTGTGATTACAAGTTCCTTATTTTGAAAATAACTTTGCCCTGTTCATTGTTTTGAAGTAAAAGCTGAAAATATATTTTATAATTATAAATTAAAAACATATGATGTTTTTGTTCTCTACAGGAAGGAAGAAACAGAAGCTTGCCAAAGAGAGAGCAGGGCTTTCCAAGGTAATACTGTGTTAATTTATGCAATACTATTTATAAAGATGTTGCATTTGTACCAGGTTTGTTTGTAAGTGGGATCTGTTTAGAGGGTGCTATCCTTGTTCTTACTTCCAACGCATGCAGCCCTCTTACAATATGCACTGTTCGGTTTCTCAGCTTCTATAAATAGCCACACGTAGGGACTTCTGTATGACTGTTCCAGCTCCAAGAGGTGTGGCATAGTTAAACTCCTGTTGAGTTCAGCATTATGAAAACCTGCTTGGTATTATGTCCTTAAGGACTATGAAGGTTTACAAATTGCTAAGAGGGTACAACTTGTGTGACTTGACTTCTGGATAAATAATGGGAGAGGCAAGGATTTCTTAGGGCGATACTTTTAATTGGACCAGCTATGTAGTTGGGATAAAGCTTGACAAGATTTCAAGTGTAAGATACTCTTCATCAGGTCTTTCACTCGAAAGCTTGTCAGGATTTATCCCAGCTATGTAGCTGGTCCAATACAAGATACAATTCTTAAGAAATCGTTGCCTGTAGAATAATTTCTGGACCATTATGGCTACAGCATCACTCACACGCTACCGAATAAATGATAGGTAACTTTCTGTTCAAGTTTTGGATTTGATAACATCTTTTTTCTTATTACTGGTGAATCTCTCTGATGTACAATGTCAGAAATAAACCAGTGTTGCCCAAAATGTTTAGTCTTTCATAGACATTCCGAGTATACTCTTTTACAAATCATTGTAGTTTAAATTCCTTTATAACATCAGCATTGCATTATTATGGTGGAACATGGAATAATGTGCTTAAGGCAGGGGTGGCAGACCCGTGGCACATATCCCACAAATGGCACAGGAAGCCTTTGTATGTGACATGCAGTGGATCAGAGAGGGAACAGAAATCAGAGCTCCCAGGACAAACATGGAGCAGAAAGCAGAGCAACAGATCAGGCAGAGGAAGGGGGTTTGGGTGGTACTCAAAGGGTGCAGGGCTTACCTTGTGGCAAAAAAGATTGGCTGGCCCCCAGTGATTTAAAGAACTTGTATATGATTTTTAGGGCCTTGACAGATGTTACATTTATCACCTTATTAACATGTTAATTGCACCCTCATTGTGCCATAAATTGCAACATGCCACATGTTCAGCAAATTTATAGCATCATAAAATGTAGAACATCTTCGTGTTTGGTTTCTATGGCACTTTAAATTGACTGTCGTCATACTTGCTCTACTGCCTGCTTGTGAGGTGCAGGACAGGGCACTTAAAAATGCTGTGGACAGGAAGCTGCTGTGCTTCTTCCACCATTGGCACGTTTGTAGCCTTGCCCTGTACCCCCTATGCAGTGGATCAGATGGTGTGTAACCAGCCGGTCCAGGACACAGCCCAATCCTTGGGATGGAACAGCGGACAGCCTTGGAACCCAGAGATGCATTATATATAACCTATCTGGATGCTTAGCTGAGTGTTGGGATCTGGTCTGGGGTCTGGAATGTAGCTGTAGTCCTAATCCTACTGTGGGATTAGGCTTGGAGTGGCCCCAGCTCCAAAAGAACAGGCATGCAGCCCAACTGTGCTATACATGTAATACAGACTCAGGACACTGGGAATCCAAAAGTGGGGATCCTGCCCTGCCCTGGGCTTTTAAACATCATGTGTGCAACCCCTCTGGGCTGCAGGCAAGCCTTTTAGTTCTAGGGCTACCCTGTGTCTGATTCTCGCCTCAGGATCCAGTATGGGGCAGTGCTGGGTCCTGTTTGGAGACTAGGGCCTATCGCTAGCCTGATCCTTGGGTTTGTACTGGGGCCAACTGTATCCCCAGACCCAAGGGTCTGTCCCATGCCAAATCCCTATGTCCTCTGCCCCTTGCCAAGTCCCTGTGTTCAACTAAGTGTTGGGATTGGTCATGGCATAGCCCCAGCATCCAGGACACAGCTGCCCATTGCGCGACCCACAGGATCAGGCTTCAGGCAGCCCTAGTGGCATGTGTGGCGTGGCAGGAAGCATGATGTTTGGGATGGGGCATAAAAATCTTCATATTCCAATCACACTGTGTTATTTTAACATCTGCCAAGGACCTTAGAAATATTAATACGACTCTAACGTAGCAGTACATTTTAGATGTGTAAGATGGTAGTACTTAATCCTATTTCATATGTTTCTGTAAAAATGAATAGCTTTTTATTTTTGTTTTAAATTGAACTTTTCTCTGTTTTGTTTATCAGCTTTCTTGCGGGCTGTCTTGCTAATTTTATTCCTTGTTACAGCTCCCTGATCTAAAAGATGCTGAAGCTGTGCAAAAATTCTTTCTTGAAGAGATCCAGCTTGGTGAGGAATTACTAGCACAAGGTAGGTATTGCAAAAATAATTAAAACAAAGAATTTTTTGAAAAAGGGAATACCTCCAGGAAGAGTTTTATATGCTATTGTGTCCTGGCATAAGTATGTTAACTAAATGTTTTGGCCATTGGTATAGGTACAAAAACTTTTTCAGTGCAGCCCTAGCTAATTAGCCTCCCACTCATGACTGGAACTGGGTGCTTTTGTCTTGTGTCCTGAGATGCTCCAAAATTTAAATGCAGATGAGATGCAGGGCTACCTGGTCCAGCTTCACCTTGTGGAGAGTGAGGCCACACTAATTGTATGCTCTAGTTTGAGAGAGGGGGCTACAGAGGGATTCTAGGTGAACCGTTTGGGGCCCCTTTTGGTGATGTTTTCCAGCCTGCCAGGCATATAAGACTGGTGAAGAAACAGGAATCATTGAAAATAGGAAAGAAAGGCACAGCTCAGCTGTGAGAGTGAAGAGGAAGTAAAAATGTATGCAGTGTAGTAGCTCACCATTACTTGGAAGAAGAGTCAGTGCTGAGGGGGACTGTGCTTAATGGGCACTACCACATATTTTATGCAGATAGGCTGCATTAATCGATTTTTGTGATAAGTTCCCATCAGCATGTTTGCCCAATGTAGGCTATGTGTTTTGTAGTCATGCTCAGTGTTGGCTGCATTTAATCAACTTGAGATTTGGTTTCCACTGCTCGAGCACAGGCTGCTTCTGGCAGAAGTTTAATGATAGACATTGTATGTAGCAAGATTTCCTTGTATGCAATTATAAGACGGAGGGGCTCTTTTTTTTCCCTGTGCCAACAGGGTGAAGGGGGGCATGAATAATATAAAAGTACTTATCTTGTATTTGAGTAAATGTGGTAATTTTTTAAATATGCAACAACTATGTAAACAAATCTAGTTCAAAATAATTTAATATTCTGTTCTTTCTTTATATATAATTTGCTGTAACAGATTTCTCTTGCAATTTGTTTGGTCTATACTGCAGTTACTTAGAGGTTAACAATCTTTTCCATGAAGGGTAGAACTAACGCAGTTTGCAAATTAAGCAGTTATAACTAATTTTCTGCACAGTATTGAATAGTTTGGGTAAACCTCAAACCACTATAAAATAAAGTTCCCATGAAAAAAACTGCTGTCATATAAGAATCTACTCTTGGTCTGAAAACAGTGGAATTGGCTCTCCTTTTAAAACTCAGCTTCCAAATTGTGAAAGTAACTGTTTAATGTTTTGGGGTGTTGGTTGTAGCCGTGTTGGTATAAGGACGTAGGCAGACAAGATTCTTTGGGTAAATGTGGTATCTTTTATTGGACCAACTAAATAGTTGGAAAAATTGTTCTTGGCAAGTTTTTGGGAACAAAAAGTAGGGTGTTTGTCCCCGAAAGCTTGCAAGAACATTTTTTCCAACTATTTAGTTGACCTAATAAAAGATATCCCATGTCCCCAAAGAACCTTGATTGTTTAATGTAACATTTAGACTAACCCTGAAACTGGCATCCAGCACTTTCTGCTGGGAAATGTAGTTGTGCAGTTCTACTCTGCAACAATAAATGGGACTCCTGCTGAGATAGTATCAGTAGGATGTCAGCCTAGTTGAGGCAACACTTCCTTTTACTTAGAAAAACCTTAAAGTTAACAGGCATTTCTAAAATCTGTATTCAGTTCTTTAAAACTCATTTCTATATTTAGAGTGTGTGCTTGTGTCAATATATGTAAGGTGGGCTTAGGATGTTTGTTAGGCTAGTAGAAATTAGTGGGTGGACGCTTCCTATTCCAGTTAGCTCTTGGAAATGAAAACAGTTGTATCTGACCTGGTTAGACAGCTTTGGAGTTTGAAAGATTCAAATAAGAGTGGGGAGTTAAAGTGGGAATATTTCTTCAGCAGCATTTGCAGTTTACTTGTATGAAGCAAAGAAAGAAACATTCTGCACCAAAAGCACAATTTTTTTTAAAAAGGAACCTTTTGTCATGTAGGTGAATACGAGAAAGGTGTCGACCACTTGACAAATGCCATTGCTGTGTGTGGACAGCCACAGCAGTTATTACAAGTTTTACAGCAGACTCTTCCTCCACCAGTGTTCCAGATGCTGCTTACTAAGCTCCCAACAATTAGCCAGGTACGTATGGGGAAGTCGAAGTAATTTTAACTGCAATTCTCCAAGAGCGGTAAAAAGTGATTTTTTTTTTTTTTTTTTTTTTT